GAAAGTGCAATCTGAAACACAAGGCCTATTATCAGTGTTAGTGTTCTTCACACGGAACATTCTTAAGGCAGCGTCTAATGTACAAAATCTGATTTCATGTCAGTTTAATTATCGTGGTAGGATTGCACTTCAAATCAAGCCACTGGGTCACAGGTCTTTGGCATCACCTAATATTGCCTAAAAATGAAACTTTTGGATGGTTATGTGGCTTCTTATGCTAATTGGACCCTCCAGAGAAAGTGGCACAGATGTCACTTCCCAGAGGAAGAGAAATCAGCAAAGCTTCTTGTGCACAGCAAGTGATGTCAATGGCATTTACAATGCAGAGCGAGCGAGAGCGATACCTTACATAGGAAGTAACGTCAACTGTGACCCAATAATCTAGAAGTCAGGTCCAGCTGAGATATTGGACCCAGACGACTGTGGTAATGCGATTGCTCTGTAGCTTCTCCACAGAAGGGGGTGGGGAGAACACATTGCAGTATTTACAAAGATCCTTTGTGCGATGCAGCCAACACAAGCGGTTTAATATCAGGTCACAGTGATACAACCCCTCCTGTACTACTGATCGACCTTCTATTCTGGAGAAAAACAATGCTATCTTTGGAACGTTGCATTATCTGAGACAGTTTAGCACAAAACCTCCTTTGTCCCAACGCACCAGACTGGCTCAAAATAATTTCTGTAAGAGGACACTGTTTACTCATCGAAACCTTCCAATTCCCAGAGGACTGCCAGAGGTTAAAATAACTCGACGGTGATGTTTGAGCCAAAGGTACTTTACTCCTCCCAAAAGTGGAATTTTGATGGCAAATAAGAAAACTCTTCGGTTTACATTTCTACATATTTGTTTTATTTCCTGGCCAAGTTTAAAAGAGACACCTTGTATGGTTCTTTACTCAGAGAGCCAGGATCTGGGGTAGTGCAAATGGTGCAAACAGTAGTTAGAGGAATGCAAGTGAAATTTCACTGAATCAGACACGATCATCAGATCAGAAGCTTCCGTCAATACCCTGTGGCCAATCCCTATCCTGGCTGGGAACCTTTGTCTTGTACAGAATACTTTAATTAATAGATCTTAATGGTATTGTATACATTATACAGTGTGTGGTCAAACTTACAATGTAGGCAACCATTAACTTGAGTTTTATTCTGCAGTCTTCAGTTTCCAAGTCAATTTGAAGCTATGAAATATTGAGTCTGTTTCATCCCTTTATTTAAAGCCTAACATTTCTCTACACATCTAAATATTGAAATAAGAGTTGTGATGACATTGGAAAAATTGGCTGAAATGAATCACTGAACTCAGCGTGCAGGTCTGGAGTAATACACAGCTGAAATGGTGATCGGCGAAGCATACTGGATTAATGACCGTTTCTCTACTGATATTAATTAATTCAGTGCCCTTACTCTGTCAGACTTAATAACTCCACTGTCAGTTCTCCTAATGAGGTCATTAGCACTCAAGAGGTTAAATGTGTACAAAAAAAATTATTGGAATTTTTAGCAGAAAGGTTTGGAGTATGGAGATATGCAGGCTGTTCCCTTCCACATACACATCCTACCAGCAATTAATTGGTTGTCTGATCATTTGGTTTCATATACAGTGAATTCATTTTACAATATATTCTGTGAAGGGCTTTGAGACTTCTCGAAGACGTGATAAGGAGCTTTATCAAATGCAGGGATTATTAATATTATTCAAAAAACCACCTGAAGTAAAATAGTTTAACTGACCGAGAACATTTGAATTGGTTGACCAGCACTCAAGCAAAAACAAAATTACATTTGTATATCGCCTTTCACGTAGGGAGGACATCCCAAAGTGCTGGACAGTCAGTGTTTCAGACCCGAGTTGGGAGGGTGGAGGGCAGGAGGGGAAAGCAGGGTGATCGAAAGCACGGTTGAAGAGATGGGTCTTGAAGGAGGCAAGGGAGGGGGTGAGGCGGCGGGGACTGTGGGATGGAGTTCAGAGGGTGGGGGAGAGTGGCAAAAGGCCTGCCTGCCTGCCTGCCAATGGTGGGGCATGTGAAGGAGGGCAGAGCCACTGAGCAGAGGGAGCGGGCAGGATGGTAGGGTTTAGGAGGTCGCAGAGACAGGGAGAAGCAAGGCCATGGAGGGTTTTGAAGGTGAGAACCAGGATCTTGTACTATATCCTCTGTAACCCAGGCTGCAAAGTTCTGGATGATCTGTAAATTGGTTTTGGTGTCCTCACTTTGTTGGTTTTAATCTCATTCCTAGAGGTTCAATTTGCTTCATTACTTCCTTGCCTGTGATGGTTATAAATTGGAAACCTCTTCAATCTCAACCTCAGCGAGAAATTTTGTTCCATAACATCAGTAACAAAGGAAAAAAAACCTTCAGCAATGCTTAAAGACTTTTATTCAATAATCAGCATACATCTAACATTCACAATATTTCTACAACCTGAACCTTTTAGGACTGCTTATCTGTTAAATATTATAAATACCAAGGTTTGCAGAGTTTTGTAAGGGAAATAATGGATACAAGCTGCTAAAGGACACGAGCAGAGTCAAATACAAAAAGTACAATAGTAAGAAAAATACTGCCCTTCTCATAAAAAAATTTTATACAAAATTTCCCCATAGATAAAATTGCCCCTTCTCTTTACTAAACCGATTAGATGTGTATAGATTGACAAAATACATGTTTTTTTTAAAAAAAACACACCCCACCATTAAATCCTGCTGGTTCAGGAGGATTGCCAAAGTAAACATCAAATATGTAGCGTAAAAAAAAAAATCCCAAACCATTGTTTGTTGAATTAATGTGCCGTTATATACTGGTCAAAGTAAAATTGCATCAAACTCAACAATATGATCCACAGGACTGGGTGGGAAAGAGTTTGAAACCTAATAGACAACTTGTGGCTTGGACATGCACAAAAGTGCAACAATGGTGTCAGTGTTTAAATCCTCCCGAATGAGTTTGAAGAAAATGGAGGCACCCTCTTCATAACTTTACAATCCCTTTTGGGGGAAAGATGAGCAGTGATCCCAGAAGAGGGGCGCATGTATTCCACAAAACAGGTACATCACTTTAAAAACTGCTGACATTGTGCTGTACTTCTGAAGATGCTTTCCCAAGGGTCCAGTCATATAACCTTTTTGAACATTGCTTTCACCTCTGTGATTGACACAAAAGTTTTTCAGTGAATGGACTAAGTTTAAATGCACATTATTTTTTTTTAAAAAATTCAGCCTGGAATCCATTCTGACATTTTTAAGAATCCATCCCCGATTCTCGTTATTAAAGAGAGCTCATTTGCATGGTGGGTGGAGGGACTGAGAAGAGACAGTTGCTGGCAACGGAGCAGAGAGTTCTATGAAAGTGTCAATTGCATCAAGCTCAACATCTATAATTTCAGGCCAAGCACATTGGAAAGCTTTGTTCTCCAGCAGACTTCAGACCTTCGGGCTACAAACATTCCCAACAGTCAACAAGGTGACATTACTGCAGCAGGTTGTTACTGGAAGTTAGGGCAGACCCCCCCAAAAACAATTAACCAATACATTGCCCTTTCCCGGAAGGAAATTCCTGCTGGCTATCTGAGTACCTGGCAGGGACAGGGTCAGGCTTTGCAGGAGGCACCTGCTTGGTTGAATTGCCAGCCAACGCTGACTGTGTAGATTCAAGCGTGAAGAATGCCACTTGAATGAGGTAATGAAAAGGGTGCCAGCACCCATGGAAGCATACCCCAAACAAGAAAATGGGACAAAGTGGATATCCTCCTTTCAGACCACCCCCACCACACAATGCATTGCAACTCATTATTGCAAAGCAAGACTTAAAACGATCTAAAATCCAAGCTGGAAAAGAAAAGTCTTTAAAAAAGTAAAGCCAATACACATCTACGTGTCAATGCTACAGTTTCTCAGATGGATGTGCTGCTTAGTTTACTCTACGGCCAGTTTTGCCAGCTAACTGGAGAGGCTCCATGTTTCAACATGGTTAGCGAAGAAACTTAAGGGAATCAGTTCAGCTTTTAAACTAAGTTGTATTTTTTTTTACAAAAGGTTGCCAGCAATGTGCCAAGAATCAACTATAAAAATATTTTTTATTAAAAAGTTATTTGCTCTTCCTTTATAGCCTCTTTTTGGAAAAAAAAGTGCATGTTTTAAAAAAAAAGAATGAAGGGAGTACATTTGTAAATTCATCAGCAAACACTACCCCCCCCCCCCCCCCCCCCCACCCTCTCAGGTCTACAGCACTGTTTCCACTCGTATTTGCTCTCAACACAAGTGGGATTGCAAGTTGCAACTAAAATGAAACTTGCACTTGCCAAAGCAAATGGTTGAAGTCAGCAGGATTTGTTACTGGGGGATATAGGTAGTGTTTTAAGACAGCCAGCCAGCCATTCACGACACTCTCATAACCGCTTAAACTTACTTTTGAGCAACAATCTGCAAGTTTAAGGTTTCTGAAGCACGACAGTCAATGTTTTTTGTCCTCCTCGGGGATCAGGACAGCTTTACAGTCTGGTTTTGTGATCGTTAGGGGGAGAAAATGTCACAGGAACATTTGGTCAGTTTCACAACAGGTTTTCCATAGGAAAAAAGAAATCCGGTTTGTGTTCAGGGCTAAATGCTCTCAGAAACAGGTGGAGGAATATTTAGAACAAAAATCACTTGATGCTCCTAGTACTGAGGTCACTAATGGCAAGTCTGTGATATGAGGTTAAGACTCAAAATGTTACACGCTTGGTTATTGCAGTTTCACAAGGCGACATTCGTTTTCATTTGCTCGTCTTACTCTGACCACCAGCAAGAAACAGCCACTTGTAAAGGAAATATAAAAAAAAAACACGTCACTTTGTGAAGGGATTCATTCCAGTTTCATAAAATATGGGACCAGTTCAGTAAGTCAGCTCCCAGGCTAAGGCGATGCCCCTTTTAAACCGTGATCATTTTCCGTTAATGAACGAATTTGAAAAAAACAAAAGCTACATTTTGGAAATCTGTGTAAAAAAAAAAGCCCTCTGAAGGGTTAATTTTTTTTAAAAAAAATTGATGATTTTATAAAGTACTTTGATTCACAGCTGTACCACACTGTGCTGGGCGCCTTACCCCTCCGTCACAACCTCCTTAACAAAGACCTGTATTACACTGAGCAATGGATTGCCTGAGAAATATAAAACTGTCCGTATAAAAAGTAACGGAAGAGAAGCCTATAGTGTTATCACAGTTCCATCTTCCCGCATGTTTCCTTGGCTTGACGTGATCTTGCCGGGACTGTCACTGTGCGCGTTCAAAGAGTTTAACGAGTCCGTGTGTTGGCAGTCTTTGCCGTCGAGCAGCGAGCTGTTTAGCGAGAGGTTCTGCTGCAGTTTCCTGGTTAGGTCCCCGTTCACGCAGTTGTGGAACACTGTTTTGGGAATGTACGAGGGCAGGTCGTTCTCGATGATGATATCGCTCTCGTCCTCGCTCTCGCCCTCTGCCGTGCTGTAGTGGTTGATGTACTGCGACGTTGCAATGAGTGTCTGCTGGCTCGGGGTGCTATCCGTCGACACCCCAGAGCTTCCAGAGGTCCTGCTGCTGCGGATGACATTGTTTCGCTGATTTGCCGGCTTCACAGTGATGATTAAGTTGTGACTGTTTGCCACCATCATGTCGGTCACCTGGTCGAGAGATTTCCCGGCCACATCAATCCCGTTCACCTCCAGGATTTCGTCGTTCACTGCCAGCAGGCCCGTGCTCTCCGCCAAGCCACCCCGGACAAGCCTGGAGATAAAATCCCCGGAACCTTCTCTACCCCCTGAGGAGCCACTCGCACGCTCACCCCGTCTCGAATATAAAACCCAAGCGGCTTGTCAGACCCGTGTTTGTGCAGACGTACTCTCCGATGGGTCTCGGGAAGGATGTCGACGTCGATGATGGAGGAAATCTGCCTGAAATCCTGAGGCATTCCGATCAGGATGTGAGGCTTCTTGTGATGGACAGGACGCAGGACGTGAAGCCCTTTCTTCTTACGCAGTAGAGAGTTGGTTCCAAATGCTCCGGAATCCGCCTCAGCTGCAAGGGAGAAGGACAAGTTTAGTTTTCCGGCAGGCAGTGACCGTTCCACGCCTGCGCAGCAAACCGCAATCGGCAGTTAAGATTTATAACCCGTGCGATTGAACTGCAGTTAACACTAATCCTTGCATTTGATATTGCTGCTCTCACGTTGGGAGGTAATCTCAAAGCGCCTCACAAGATTTATTGTAACGTGCAGTGACTTATTTTTGCAGGCAAACGTAACAGCCAATTTGCACAGAGCGACAACATCTTGCAAAACAGTCGTGGAGTGAATGACCAATTTTAATCAGGGGGATTGTTGGCCAGGACCCCGGGTGAAACTCCATTTGCTCTGTGAATTGTGCCCCAGGATATTTAACGCCCACGCGAACAGGCAGTCGGGGCCTCATGTTAACTACATTTCTCGATTTTAATATCTCGGGTGTAGGACGGTACCTCCAACACTGCAGCCTGCAGTACACACACCCAGCTCTGCACTGGAATGCCACCGTATACTTTTGAGTTCAGAGTTCTGACCTGGAGCTTGAAGTCACAACCTTCTGACTCACAGGCAAGGGAGCTATCGACTGAGTCAGACTGACACCTAACCGTTGAAGAAATTACGAGTGAACTGAGAGGCACAGTGGGAATTGATAGATTGCTCCATCTCTTTTTCTGACAGAATGAATGCCTCTATTGGTCAGTTAGGATTTAGAAAGTAAATGTTTGGGGAGTCTCATTGCAGTGTGTTACCTTTAAATCTGGCATTCACACAGCCAGCCAGTCAGTCAGATAAATTGTGCAGAAAACACAAGTTGTACCCAAGCAATGAACGTTAGAGTTATTTAGGCACAAGGTCAGGGCAATGTAGGGAAAGCCTTGCATGGACTCAGGTAAATGCAGAAACTAGGGATTCCACAATCACCACAACAACTTGCATTTATATAGTGCCTCTCAATTTTAAAACACAAATTTAAATCTCTTCTTCCCCCTTACAGCGCACGTAATAAAAAACATGCGGCCCAATGATGGAACATCCACATGTCCTTAGTCAGAATGATAGTAATATTGATGTATATTCTTCAGAGCTTCTTTAGAGCAAATTAAACTGCTCTGTTAGTGTTTGTGAAGTGTTGACCTGCAGTAACGAGCACATAAGCATTGCTGCTACTATATTGACTGGAGCTTTCCAGTCTTTGCATCTTTTTTCTCCAGCCACATCTTTCCCCAGCTCTTTGCTTGGCATTTCTGCCTATACTTGTAAATCTTGTAAAACATCACGGATAACCAACGACATCCATTATTAAGAACAGCATTAGGCATTATTATTTTTTTTAAAAATGGGATTTATTTAAAAACGTATGGAGTGGCCCGTTTCTTTTCCATAGTGAAGTAATAATACTTGCATTTGATATAGCACTTTATCACATTTTCTAGATGTCTCGAAGGGCTTCACAAAATATACTGTAAAGTGAATTCACTGTGTATTTTGTGGGCGAAACATGGCAGAGAATTGCGCACGGCAGCGTCCCACAAACAGCCGTGGATTGAGGAACCAAATTTGTTTTTCCTTTTTGGAGGGATTACTACCCCTAGTCGGCAATCAAAACTAGTAGGAAAGATTCGATAGGTTTCTCAGAGGAAGTGGAGATGATGCTGGTATGGCCAGCAGTACAAGCAGAGGAGTGCATCACTCAACCTACCCTAATTTAACTACACTGGGATATAAGCATTCAGTCACACTGCACGGCTGAATGATGCCATTTCGCAGCTCTCCAGGGTAATAAACAATGTCAAATACATTACAATATTAAAAGGCATCACATTTTTAGTAGCGGATAATTTAAGAGGCTATTTTGATCAAAACTGAAATTAGACATGGATTTTCCCTGCCATTGCCTAGCCCTCCTCCACCTTTCTCCCTCCTCCCACATGCACGACCTCATCTCCAACGCATTTCTTTCCCTATGAAAAGGCTGTTAAAAAAACACACACAACTGCATGCAATAGCCATGAGCAGCTGGCAAAGGCAAGAATGGTAATATCTCTTCAAAGGGTCCTGTATTGTGCTGGTCCGGAAGGCGTTATCAAGAACTGAGAAAATCCATTCCAACTGGATTCGAGCAATAGAGCAGCAGTTATAGCAATAGCTTCTCATCCAGACAGACAGACAAGTCCCCAGGGTGGGTGACCATACCACTTAGAAAGATTCCATGACACAATGGAATTACCTTATCAAGTCTGATTACGTTGATCTACTGTCAGGCAAATGAAAGCAATAACATTTCACATTCAGGGGCCAAAACTATTTTCCATACCATTTTACCAAGCGTGCTTTAATACGGAAGGTGTGAATAGGTTAATCCTACTCGAAAGAAATTGAAAAATGTGTCGTCTTGTGTGCATTTTGTTTTACAAATCGCTTTGCAGCAGTTTTCATACAGCTCTTATCTGTCTGTGCCTTATTGTATAACTAACACACCTTTGACGCACTGTGGCATTAAAAAAAAACTTTTAAAAATCGTCAACGTGGCTCAATTGGCAAGTCAGACGATTGTGGCTTTCAGCCCCATATCAGGACTGAGCTCATATCTAGGGTTGATGCTTCAGTGAGGTGCTAGGGGATTGGTGTGTTGTCATTATCGTTGCATTGTTACCAACTGCCAAATTTAGACATGAAATTCAAAGAATATTCCATAATTCTGCACAATCTTGAATTTGAACGCAAAATGGCCTTACATGAGAGTACGAGGTGGCATTTCAGGCCACAGGAGTTGTGTTGCAGGATTTGAGCTCAAGGCAGGCTGGTTGACAGTTTGTAGAGCAACTATTCCATCCAAAGAGCACAGGGAATTCTCCCGGTCTCTTAGCCAACATTCCCTTGTGTGTGTATTCAAAGAGATGAAATCACTCATCTCATTGATCTTTATTGGGAGCCACTAGTGTGATCGGCTGTTCCTTTCAGTTGCTACATTTGAATGTAATTGATGTGCTTTCAGAGGTTGTGAGCCAATATGATATTGCATTGCATGCAAGTATCTATAATAAACACATCCAACGTTTAGGTATTTCATGCCATATAACTTTAGTGGGGCCACAGAAACTTCACAGCATAGAAGGTGGTCATCATGTCTGTGCAATCTATTCAGTACCATGTACTTGCTTTCTTCCCCCTACCCCTGCAAATTACTCTTGTTATCCCTGACCACCACTCCAGGCAGAGAATTTCACATCCTATCAACCTTCCATGTAAAATACTTCCAAATCTTCCCCTTTGCTGTTTAACTTAAATTGATGTCCTCCAGTCACTAATTCACCAGTTGATGGAAATAATTTCTCCCATTGGCTATCAAAAGTCTCTGCAGATGATGAGGTGGACAATATTTTTATTAAGTTCTAACTAATGATTTATGCACCTCTTTTCTCTTTATGTGTATATATGCAACAACCCGTAGGTCTCTGCTCTTCCACTCCTTTTAAAATTGTAAACTATTTAGCAGATAATTTCTTATTCTTCCTTTCAAAAATGTATAAGTACACAATTTTCTGTGTTAAATCTCATCTGCCATTTCTGCTCAATATTTTAATCTCCTAATGACATCTTGACGTTAATCTTTACTGCTAGCTATATTTTTTTTGTTATCTGCAAATTTTGACTTTGTGCCCCTATATCAGAATTCTGATCAGACTGTTATGCCATGAGTTAGCAGATACGCTTCGAATAAACTGCTTATCGACAGGGATATAATGGATGCTAATTAAAACATTTTTCATTTCAATGCTTTAACAAAGCAGCCGTCACAGATGCCTGCACACCCCGAGTGAGTCCAGACAGTGAAACAATAGCCAAATAGCCAAATCTATTCCCAAATACATTGACACCGTAATAACATTTTTTAAAAAAAACGCATTTTATACTCTTTCTCCCCCATCCCCACCTATACAAGGTGCAGTTTTCTTACAAAGCAAACAGGCTCCATTTCCACACTGCAAGAAGAAAAATATAGAAAGGCACAATATTTCTCTAATGTTTAAGGAAGCCTCTCAAATATTCTCCCACCAACCCTAACATATTGCGTGTTGGAATCCTAGAACTTCTGGCCACACAATCGAAACGGATGAGTTACGAATTTAATCAACATGTAACGTTTTGGATATTCTGCTGTTGAAACCTGAAATATCCAAATATCAACCCACAAATATTCACCCACAAAACACACAGTCACTACACTTTACAGTATATCCTGTGAAGCGTTTTTAGATGTCTCAAAGATGTGATAAGGTGCTATATCAAACACAAGCATTATTATTATCATCAGTGCACCGTGCAAATTGATTGCTGCCCTCACTTACAAAATACAGTCACTAAACTCCGAAGTACATCTCATGAAACTCTTTGAGACGTTCTCCTGATGTGAAAAGCGCTATACCAAATGTAAGGATTGTTATTTAGTTTCAGAAACCAAAAAGCAGACTTTTGAAAGCTATTCAGGTCAATATAACACCACTTCATTAACCATACTGCCATAATGCCAAAACATATTAAACATAATAAATACCTTAATAAAGCGTTAATACCTTAATAAAGTGTGAACCTGTTCTGCCTCCGTCTAGGCAGAAGGTTGAGTTGTACTGTACTTGGGTACAAATGTCATTTTTGTATGGTGGGTAAAATTGTCCACACCAACACTAATGTCAAGCCTCCTTAATGGAACCATTAGGGTTGTACTGCAACTTCAAATCAATACTGTTCACGTGCCCTTCCTGCTCAAGCAGTGCCTTTCTTTCCTTATACAGTTTTATTATTTGTGGTGAGTTGGACAGTTCATTCAAACCGAATACCTCGGATCAGTTACAGTTTTCCCCTTTGGTCAAGGGCCAGGATCAAGTTTGATATTACTTGCTTGGAAATGAGGAAGTGGGTCGAAATATACATTTTTACCAGAACATGTGGCTGAAAGGCCAATATTGCCACTTGGTCCTGTAACAAACATGATTTAATAGAATGGCGGAACAGG